GGAAGTTTTTACTATATGTCATTTCTTCCACGTACACACGAGTATATTATTTATGTATTTTTATTTTTAATTTTAGTCTTTAAAAATGTGAAATATGTAGTTGATTATTTTGTTGTTAATTATTTTGGTCAATAATATTGTTTTTAATAATCATATGAATTTTAGAAATTTATTTTTATCATTTAATTATTTTATATATGTAAAAGTATCAAATCAAATTTATAATAATTTAATACATTACAGTTTAAAAAATATGTTAAATTTGGTTTTTGAGACTATCTTAAATAGAATTTAGAATAAAAATAATTTATTTATAATTTAAAATATTAAAAAATATAATCATAAATTTTATAAATAAACACATATTAAAAAAATTTGTTGCTTTTGAATTAAAAAATATTTGTTTTACTTTCAAATTTTAGTGCGTTAAAAAAAATATTTCAAAAAAATAATTAGATTTGTTGTTATAAACTTGAGAATTTTTTTTCACAGACATATCAAAATCTCTTTTAAAAATTTGTTAAGATATGTAAACGTGTCAAATCAAGTATAATAATCTAATACATTAGAGTTAAAAAAATGTTAAATTTAGTTTGTCCAACTATCTTAAATAGAATTTATAATACAAGTAAATTATTTAATATTTTAAAACATTAAAACATATAATCATAAATTTTATAAATGATATTAAAAAATATTGTTTCTTTTGAATTTAAAAATATTTTTATTACTTTCAAATTATCATGCGTTAAAATAAAATTTCAAAAGAATAATTAGATTTGTTGTTATAAACTTTGATAAGTCTTTATTATTATTTTCAAAAAAATATATATTATATAAAAATGTTCAATAATTTTAGGGGCAATTACAAGAATGCCACTTTTTGTGTGCACATTTGCAAGAATGCCACTTAGGGGTGTCCATTTACAAAAATGCCACTAATTATAGATTTATAAAGCCTATATCTTAAAATTCTAAATCCTAAAAACTGTTTTGACACCTAAAACCCCCTAAACACTCAAAACTAAACCTTAATAGAAAATAATTAACCCAAACATAAATAATATAAAGAAAAAATAATTCTGAAAAAGTGGCATTTTTGTAAAAATTTCAAAAGTGTGACATTTTTGTAAAGTGACACTTGAAAAGTGGTATTTTTTGAAATTTCTCATAATTTTATTACAATAATCAATTTCTAAACTATTTTTAAATGAGAAACCAAATTTGTATATAGTTTTAAAATGAAAACAAAAATCTAATAATATATTGATTACAAACTCTTTTGATTTATTTATGGTAACAAATAATTGTAGAAGATTTTGTTATTGATTCAAAATTGCCATGTCACAATTTTATTAATCCATGTCATAATTGTTTTGGTGAGAGTGATTGTGGAGATGACACATAATCATCTTCTCCCAAATCACTCTCCAATTAATATATAAGGGATTTGGTTTTACTTGGTGATATTTTTTTATAAAGAAAAAAACAGAACGAAATTTTTTTTGTTTTTTTAAT